GGGTGAGATTTTAGCTCTGAGCTCTGACTTCTCTGCTTTCTCTTTTACATTGTTTCTGTGTTTCTTATTTAATAAGACGGTTGGTTACATCAACAGGCTTCTGTTGCTGTGAGGAAACCATGACGAAAAGTAACTTGGGAAGGAAAGGTTTTATTTCACTCACACTTCCATATAATGACTCATCATTGAAAGCAGTGAGGGCAGGAACTCAAACCGGGCAGGAACCTGAAGGCAGGAGCTGATGCAGAGGCCATGGAGGGGAGCTGCTTACTGGTGTGCTCTTCATAGTTTGCTCAGTCTGGAGCACCCAGGACCTCCAGCCCAAGGGTGGCAGGAAGCACTGGGCTGGGCCCACACCCGGTTGTCACTAATTAAGAAAATAACCTGCTGGCTTTCCTATAGCCCTAACTTGCTGGGGCATTTTCTCAGTTGAGGTCCCCTCCTCTCAGATGACCAGAGCTTGTATCAAGCTGACATAGAACCAGCTAGCACGATTGACTCCTTATCAACTTGACAAACAAACACATCGCTGTTAACTAATATCGTCACAGTTTAAAATATTTCACAGACTTAGGAAGCTCCAGTCTTTACAAATTGAAACACTTTAAAATTCAGTCTCTAAAAGTTCAAAGCCTCTTAACTATGGGCTCTTGTGAAATCACAGTAAGTCAAATGCCTTCTTAGTCCAAGAGGTATAGTCACAATCTGAACAAAGCAAAGCCAGTGTCTTCCACACTCCACAAACCCAGCCAGGTCAGGCTTCACTACAGTAGCCTACTCCCCGGTACCAACTGGTCTTAAGGTTTCTATTACTGTGATGAAACACCATAATCAAATGCAACTTGAGGGGGAGAGGGGTTATTGCACTCACAGTTCCACATCACAGTTCATCATCCAAAGCAGTGAGGGCAGGAACTCAAACTGGGCAGGAACCTGGAGGCAGGAGCTGATGCAGAGACCATGGAGGGGAGCTGCTTACTGGCTTGCTCTATCTGCTTTCTTATAGCACCCAGGACTACCAGGGATGGGCCACCCACAATGGGCTGGGCCCTCCCACATGAGTATTTAAGAAAATACTCTACAGAGTAAGCAGTCTACAGTCACATCATGTGGAAGCCATTTCTCAATTGAGGTTCCCTGCTCTCAGATGACTATAGTGTGTGCCAAGTTGACATAAAAACTAGCTGGCTCACTGGGAAATGATGTTCCTCATACATGTCTAAGAAGAAGAGGAAGTTAAGTCTTATGGATACGTGGAGTTGACTGAAACACACCTCTTTGAGCATCTTGTATTGTTTCATGAAAGTTTTGATTAGTATGTAAGCCAGTCTACCCTGCTTCTTACTGCAGACCTAGAATGCAGGCTTGCTGAAGGCAGGGTCATGCTCTGCCTTGCTTTACTGTCTCAGTTTTTCTAGCTCCATCATTATCCTTACAGCATCGTTGTGAGGCAGTGCCACAGTGCTCTGTGTGAACTGAATTGTATTGTCATCGCAGGTTCTAATCAAAGTCCATGCCTGTGGCATCAACCCAGTAGAGACATATATTCGCTCTGGCACCTACAGTCGGAAACCTGCCTTACCTTTCATTCCAGGCACCGATGTGGCTGGGATCATAGAATCTGTTGGAGAGAGTGTGTCAGCTTTCAAGGTATTCAATTCTTAATTATTTCTATTTTGGGTTAATAGCGTTCCTCTGAAATTAATTCTAACTTTAAAGGCTTTCAAAGGTACCCATTGCACAGTTTCTGCTAGTGGGGGCACTCCTGGTCAAAAAAAGAAAGTATTTCTTATCCAGCAGCCTGCTTGTCTGCACTGTTGGGAATCAGTACTGGGTAATTTCTGTGGCACCATGACTCAATGAGTGAGTGGTGGTCCCTTTAGTCTAATAGAAACTTGTGAGTGAAGAGAACAAATAGGGAGATGACAAATGGCCCAACTCTTGTCATACACAGACAGAAATTTTAAATTTGTTTTCACAAAGTAGAGGAAAGGTTACCTCCTTTGGAGGATAAATAAACCGTGAGCATATGCAGAGTCACTGTGCCGTTTTGGCATTGAGATCAGGCCTATGGTCTTGGTTATTGCTCCTGTTCTGCCTAAAGACATGGCCAGCATGCATAGTGTCTGTGTGGCATGCTTATGCCTACCCTCTTTCCTCCTGTTTTCTTGACCTGCTCAACTTTGCCCCGTATTCACCTACAATGTGTCTAATTGGAGAAACTTAACATGCCCCTGTGCAGGAAGTGGGCAGATTTCCCTAGGTCATTGTGGTGGTTATATAGAAGGCTACAGCGTCTAGCTTAGTAAGTGTTCAGCAGATCTACACTAGCATCCCCCTGTCTCCTTTAATGCTTCTTTTCATAAGTTCCCATTTAGAAAACATGAACAGAGGTTCAGTGTGTCAGTTGTGTTCATGAGATGCTGAGTTGGAGATAGCCGTATGTAAGTGATTATTTCTTACTGTAAGGCTGGCATTGGAAAAGTCTCGTCCATCTTGGCACAATAGGAATGAATCTCTGCTGCAGGCATTGGTTGATCTTTTTCAGAAAGGTGACCGGGTCTTCTGCACCAGCACAGTGTCTGGCGGTTATGCAGAGTTTGCTCTTGCAGCGGATCACACCGTCTACACCCTGCCCGAGACACTGGACTTCAGGCAGGGGGCTGCACTTGGGATCCCGTACTTCACAGCCTGCCGTGCGCTGTTCCACAGGTGAGGTGGCACTGGGATTTCACGGCCAGCCCAAGCAGGCAGCTCTCACCACCTGCTCTCTACCTGTGCTGTGGCTGCTTGTCCTTTCTGGCTGCTAGTCATTTGCCGTTAAGTATTTCTGGGGTCATGACAATCATGGAGGGGACAGGAGTTTGATCATTTTGAGGCAGAATGAGGAAATTAATTCCTTGAATGCAGATTATTTTCTCAAAAACTGGGAATCAGGAGGGAAATGTTAGAAGACCCTGAGGTAAGTGTTTATCTGTGTCTGAGTCACTGTTCTGTTGCTGTGAAGAGACACCATGACTGTGGCAACTGTTATAAAGGAAAGCATTTGATTGAGGGCTTGGTTATGGTTTCAGAGCATTGATTAGTCCAAGGTCATCATAACAAAGAGGACAGCAGCAGACAGGCATGATGCTGGAGAAGGAGCTGAGATTGATACCCTGATCCAGAAGCAGAGAGAGGGAGCCTGGGCCTGGCTTGGGCTTTTGAAATCCCAGAATCCACCCCCAGTGATACACCTCCTCCAACAAGGCCACATCTCCTAATCCTACTAATTTCGTCAGATGGCACCACTCCCTGGGGACCAAGCGTTCAAATACTTGAGCCAATGGGGGCCATTCTCATTCAGACCACCACGGTCTTAGTGACTTTCTATTGCTGTGATATGACGCCACGACCAAGGCAACTTATAGGAGAAAGAGCATATTGGGCCTCAGAGTTTGAAAGGGTGAATCTATGACCATTGCAGTGGAAACACAGCAGCAGCAGACGGGCATGGCCCTGGAGCATTAGCTGAGAGCTTGTGTCTGATCCACAACTACAAGGTGGGATTGGGGTGGACTTTCTAAACCTCAAAACCCACCCTCAGCGACAAACCTTCTTCAACAAAACCACACCTCCGAATCCTTCCCAAACAGTCCCACCAACTGGGGACCAGTTATTCAAATGCATGAGCCTATGTGGGCCATTCTCATTGAAACTGCCACTGTGTTGGGAGATGTTTTTGTTTATTTAATTTTTTGAAGCATCAGCCAGACATGTCCCTGTTTAGAACCAAAAGGGGATGTAGTGGGAGAGGAGAGGTAAACCCTGCAAGAGAAGATGGCAAGGACCCAACAGGAGACAGGCTTCGGGTTTCATGAGGAAAACCCACCCATGAGACCTAGAAGAAAAGATGTAACTATGGAAACCTTTGCAGGTAGGAGGCAGGATGTTGAAGGCGCTTCTATGCATTGGAGAATCAGTGCTGAGGGTACAAAAGTTCAGGGCCATGGGATTTTCTCCTACATTTGTTGTACATTGTCTTAGTTTGGGTTTTTATTGCTGTGAAGAGACATCATGACCATGGCAACTCATAAAGAAAACATTCAATAGGGTGGCTCACTTACAGTTTCAGAGGTTCAGTCCATCATCATCATGGCGGGGAGCAAGGCAGCTTGAAGGCAGATGTGGAGCTGGGGCTGAGAGTGTTACATCTTACGGGCAACAGGAAGTTATCTCACTGTCACTCTGAGTGAAGCTTGAGTAAAAAAAACCTCAAAGCCCACCTCCACAGTGACACACTTCCTAAACAAGACCACGCCTGCTAATAGTGCCACTCCCTTTGGGGACCATTTTCTTCAAGCCACCGCATACATTTGGCGAATATTTCAAGGGAGTCAAGTTTTCTGATTAATCCAAAGCTCTTAGGTGGTGAGATGAAGTCAGGCAAAGGTAACAGGAGCTCTGAAGAGAAGGAGTGGCCAACAGCGGTGACTGCTGCAGCCGTGGGCCCTGGTGTCTGGCACTTCTCTGGTTGTTCCTGTTGAACATGGAAGAGAACGGATGAAAGTTAGGGATCGTAGGACACAGGTGCTGGATATTCTTCATGAAGGTTGGAATCCAGAACACAGCTGGGCTGGGGTTGAGTAAGCGTCATAAGAGTGAACAAGTTGACAGCATGTTTACACAGTTTGAACCCCAGGGGACGGGGCGATGACCATCAGAAACAAAATGAACCAGGGACATTTGTGCGTGCTTGGGTGCTACTCTATATATCTGTATGCACACATACCTTCTCAAATCAACTAGACATGTACAATTGATTCATGATTTTAAAGACTTGGCTCCAAAATCGTAGAGGTTTATGAGGACTGAAATTTGGTGGAGGAGGCAGCAGGATGGAGAGCTGGGGTGGCTGCAGTCTGAGCCTCAGAGTCTGCTAGCACAGTGCTTAGGAGACATTGTCTGTGTTCTGTGCAGGTCCTCACCTGACGGCATGGGGTCCACCCACACTGGAAAGCGATGAAACTGTCAATTAATTGTTAATTTTGTACAAAAACAAAATATCAACAAAAATGCTCTTTTAGGAACATCCAGAATGATACTTGAGAAAATCTGAAGTGTTTTCCCAGTCACATAGTTATACAACGTTAACCACCATGGCTGCATGCAGGGCAGCATGGCAGAGCCATGGAAGTGAGGGAGGAGGTCCATGCAGAGGAGAGGGGGTGAGGGAGGAGGTCCATGCAGAGGAGAGG